CTATGAGTGTGTGAAGACATCCAGAAGTGTTGACCAGTATGTTGCAAGAACTGGGGCTACCCCCTTACTGTTTCTGTTCAACTTTTTGGTAGGGTTAAAAAGGAGTGAGGTCAAATCCTGGTCTGAGTTGTCTGCAAGGGGATAGCAGACCCCGCAGCCAATTAAAAGAAGGACAGTTAATGTGCTAGGGCACTTTCCTTTTGTGGGGAAGCTTCTGGGTGATTCTGAAAGATAAAGATCGCTAGTGTCCTTCCCTCCTTCATATTTTTACTTTTCAGGGTCTACAGTATTCATTTCCCAGTTTCCACCAACGCAAAATCAGTGTATCCATTCTGGTAGTTATAACTTTTTTCTAATCATCTCCTACATGCACCCAGACTTTTTGCTTAGAAAGTTTGGGTACAAGAGGAACACATGCATTTTTATAAAACTTACAGAGACCCACTATATCCTCCGCTTTGGCCCATGTGAGCCACTGTAGGAAGATTCAATGAGCAGTGTACTTAACTGAGTAGTCATTATCCTGATGATCTAGGTCATGTCCATCCAACAAGAGAACCCAGGTATCTGAACAAGAATTAAGTTGGAATTCCCAAGGCCTCATTTTGGATAGGCTATCACCCAGAGAATGTACAAATCAGGCCAGCCTAGGGTTTCTGTTAGGGGAGAGAAAGATGTACCATACCCAAGAATTGTCAGAGCAGAATCCTGAATTTCCAAAAAAGATCTCTCCACCATTTTTATCATGAAAGCAGCCAAGAGAAGAGGATCAGTTTCTGGAGACAGACAATTCAGTTACCAAACTACTTAGACAAGTGTAGGAACTTGGATGAGTTAAGACAGGTTGAGTCAGAAATCTTTTTGAGTTACGTGTTGAGGAGGCCATTCCAGTGGTCAGTAATATCAGATGCCTGTGGGTTGTAGGGAGCATGGAAGGTCCATTTAATATCTTCACTATTATTACTCTACTGAACAGTTTTTGTGATAGAAAGTGCATTATCATCAGACTTTAATCATCCAGAAAGCCAAATGTTGCCACAGATAAATTCCAAGGGCCACAGTGGTGTGGGCAGAATCAGCTGCTCAGACTATAAGAGCAATACTATTACCTAAAAAAGTGTCAGTAATGCTGAGGCATCACCAATAGCCCTTAGAAGGATCAACAGTTCAACTTCTTCTATCTGTCAGGAGTTTACAGACGTAATGCAGAGTGGCCTTCCTCAACATAAGATATATGGATCAACTTAGGGCAGAAATCCCAGGCCTGGCATGTAATGGTGGCCCCTGCATCAGGCACAGAATCCTCTGCTTTGTGCCAAATGGTGGATGGGCTGCCATGTCCAATATGATGATGGATCCAGCAGCAATGGTGGCAGTCTGGGGAGTGCAGGCTAACTCAGCAGCTTGATTCCAGCTAGTCTCATCAGAGAATGGGCCCCTAGTGTTAGTACCTATGTGACTGACCCACACAGTTTAATCAAGAGCCATAATTTGTTTCCACAGTTCTCAGCCACAAAGACAGGTGTCTTTAATCTGACAGGCTATAGTTTTTAAAGCGGCATCCAGCCCAAGAGTCAGTAAAAATATAACTAGCTTCATCAAGATGAGTACTGGCCTAAGTTAGGAAAATGCTCTTGATTTCTGCCCACCTAGTAGAACAACCACATCTGCCTCCGTTTCTGTAAAGCTGATGTGCTAAAATCGAACACACGCAGCAACCTAGTGGACACTATCAGGTATTGGCTTGGCTAAATCATCAGCGAGCCAGGCCCTGGCACTTAAAGGAAACCCTGTGAGTGAAAGACCCCACTGAGCCAGCAGCTGGCTTCAGGTGGTAGGATGAGGATAAAGTTTCCCCCAAAGAAATAGCTGCCACTCTTTCATGTAAAGCCAACATGTCATGTGAGCTGGGCCAGCTTGCCTTTGTATGTACCACTGCCACTTGACCAGTGAGGCGCATTGGACCCTTCCCACCTTGTTAGACATTGGGTCAAAGTTGATCCAACCCAAAATAGGAATACAGGATGGAGAGTCACAAGGCCTCCATGGGCCAGGCGTTCAGTTTCCAACAAGAACCCAGTAGCAAGCTAAGAGCTATTTTTCAAAATGGGTGTACCTGATCATCACGTCATGCAGATGACAAGTCTAAAACCCTAATGACTGACAGGATAAAGCCTTCTTCCCTTTGCCAGAGGCTGTGATCAGCATAATAACCAGTCACAGGGACTTACAGCTCAAAGACTTATACCCCAAGTAGAGTGTGTCAGTTTGCTGGGTAGCTTCTAATGCAGTCTGTTCGTTGGGGCCCCCAAAGTATCCTGATGCAAAGGAACAAGTTGAGGGACACCTGGATGGCTCAGTAAGTTAAGTGTTGGACTATTGATTGCAGGTCAGGTTACGATCTCACAGGTTGTGGGATTGAGCCCCACATCCCGCGCTGCACTGACAGCATGGGGCCTGCTTGGGAGTCTGTCTCTCCCTCTCTGTCTCTCTTTCTCTGCCCCTCTCCCACTTGCGCTCTCTCTCTCTCTCTCTCAATATAAATAAATAAACATTAAATAAGCAAATAAATGGAACACTTTGAATTCCCAGTGAAGCACATACTTTCTCCAGTACTTACAGAGTCCATGAAGGATCTGGGCATCTTTCGATGGTGGTGGTGGGAGAGCTGAAGACAGCCGTTTTTCCCTAACTGCCGGGGTGGCTGAGCATTGCAAATCTGCCCACATAGTCTTAAGGCACTTGGTGAGCTGGCTCCTGAATTCTGTCAAGGTTTATCAGCTTCACCTGCTGCCAGAGATATAATAATACCACAGGTAAAGCCATTGCGACTGACGCGTCTCACCTGCCAACCGATAGGACATCATCCATGTAATGAAAACTCTGGACACCCTGGTGGAAACAATTGCACTAAACTCTGACACACCCACTAGTGGCAAGTGGCAGGGAAATTTAGGTACTGCTGAAGGAATACTGCAAATGTATACTGGAGGCCCTGCAGTGGGAATGGGAACTGTTCTTGATTCGGAGGTGCCAGTGGTATGGCAAAGAAGGCACTAGCAACGTCCAAGACTGTGTGCCAAGTGCCACTGGCCTGTGCAATGGATTCAGTTACAGTCACAATGTTTGGAACAGCTGGGGCTATGGGATCAACAACTGAATTCAGTTGGCAGTAATCTATTGCAAGCCTCCAGCTCCTGATAGTTTTTCTCGGTGGCAGCACTATGACATTGAGATACTGCGTCTTTTATCATCACCGTTGCCTTTAAATTCTTTAATCATGGCTGTTGTCTCCTGGAATTTTACACTTTCTGCTGAACCACCCAGGAGGGCCAGGGAGGTGGAGTGAGAAGCAATGTATATGCTCCACTAGTACTTCTGTAAATGTGGCTCTTTTCTATCAGTCGATTCCCCTCTGGACTTGATGAACATGTACAATACGAGTATGTAAAACATCAATAACAGGGATACATCTGGCAGTGGATCCACAGCAGCGCTACGCTGAATCGGCCCCAAGGACCCTAGCACAAGACCACTTTAGCTTCCCTTCCCCACTGCCCAAATTCCATCGGTTGAATTGGAGCCCCCTCCTCGCACAGGACCAGATAGGATATTAACTTGGACACCCAGATCCAAGAGCCATAGCAATTTAAGTTCCTCCCTTTCCCCAAATCCCCAAATGGACTGGAGTGCATGGCCTCTTCTTTAATTTTATTAAAATATAGTTGACATACAATATTATATTAGTTTCAGGTGTACAACATAGTGATTCAACAATCTATACTCAGTGCTCATCACGATAAGCTACCATCTGTCACATACAATGTTATTACAATATCATTGACTAAGTTCCCTATGCTGCAGTTATCACCTATGTGACTTATTTCTTTCATAACTAGACGTCTGTACCTCTTTTTTTTTTTTTTTTAGTTTATTTATTTTGAGAGAGACAGAGAGCGAGTTGGAGGGGGGCAGAGAGAGAATATCAAGCATGTTCTGCACTGCCAGTGCAAAGCCCAATGTGGGCCTGAACCCATGAAGCCGTGAGATTGTGATCTGAGGTGAAATCAAGTCGGATGCCTAAGCAACTGAGCCCCCCAGGCACCCCTAGAAGTTTCTACCTCTTGATCCCCTTCACTTATTTTGCCCATCTTCCCCACTTCCCACTTACAACCACCAGTTCATTCTCTGAATTTATGAGTCTGCTTTTGTATTTTCGTTCATTCGTTTGTTTTGGTTTTTAGATTCCACATAGAAGTGAAATATTTGTCTTTCTCTGTCTGACTTAATTCACTAAGCATAATACCCTGTAGGCCCATCCATGTTGTTATGAATGGCAAGATCTCATTCTTTTTTATGGCTGAGTAATATTCCATTATATGTAAATACAAGTGCCACCTCTAGTTGTTTCTCTTCTTAAGGTGATTGAAGTGAAGGTACAGGAGGAGGGAGAAATCAGGGGACATGCAGGTAGAGAGTGGCTATGATAGACTTAATGTTTGTGTCCCACCCACCCTGAAATTCTTAGCCCTAATTTCCAGTGTGAAGATATTTGGAAATAGGGCCTTTGGCAGGTGTTTAGATTTAGATGAAGTCATGAAAGAGGAGCCCCCATGACAGCATTAGTGTCCTGAGAAGAAGAGGAAGAGAAACCAGAGCTCTGTTTCTTTCTCTGCCATGTAAGGACACAGTGAAAAAGCAATCATCTGCAAGTCAAGAAGAGAGCTCTTACCAGGAACCAAATGAGCCTTCACCTTGATCTTGGACTTCCCAGCCTCTGGAATTGTGAGAAATAAAACTTCTGATGTTTAAGCCACCCAGTCTATGGCATTTTGTAATGCCAGCCTGAGCAGACTAATACAGTGGCTCCGTATATTAAACAAGGCTTTTCACTTACTTGTATTTTCAAACAATGTGGCAGTGTCTCATTGCTCAATTCAATGAACTTCATTGCTTTTGGCTTTCACAGTGCTCTATATTAGGTAGTGATACCCTCATGGCTGGTATCATTTATGACAGCCTTGGGAACCCTGGACTCTGTAGCCACAGCCACAACCACATTGCTTTCTGGATCATGGGGTTTGTATCCTCTTATTTCATTTTTATTTTATTTTGAGAAAGAGAGAGAGAGAGCAGCTGCTCAAGCAGGGGAGAGGAGCAGAGGGAGAGAGAAAATCCCAAGCAGGCTCCACACTCAGCACAGAGCCTGAGGTAGGGCTTGATCCCATGACCCTGGGATCATGACCTGAGCTGAAATCAAGAGTTGGAGGCTCAAATAATTGAGCCACCCAGGCACTCCTCGTATCCTCTTTTGACTTGAGCATAGCTCAAGGTCACACAACTGTGACCTTCTTTAAGGAGCTCACCTTAATCTGGGACAACCATTACCCCATTACTAAGACCACATCTCATGTTCTCGTTTTGTACTATGCCTCATTGCCTGATTAGCAAGGGAATCCCCCACCTGGAGGAGACTTAGCAACAAACAGGGCACTATTTGGGCAGCTGTCTTTGAACCTCTTATCTATAAGCCCCTTCCCAATTTTCCCTCATTATCAGGAAATAAAGTGGAAGATCACTCATTATTTTGTTGACCATAAAATTTAATCAGCATGCTTCCTGTCAATTCCTATGGGCTTTCTTCAAATCCCATTAACTAGTTACAAGGCCCTTATCGTTCTTATTCCAGAAAGTCACATCTCTCAGTATCCCATCCTCATCACCAAAACTGTCAAGAACTCTTAAGGGTCTGAAATTTTAGCCTATTTGCAATCTAACAAGTTAACCTGGTACAGTTTCGTGGGTGCTGGCAGAAGACATGAAACTCTTGGATCAGAGGCAAAGGACAATGTATTACTTAGAGTAACCAAACATCCTGAGTATTAGCATTTTTGCACTAGTTCCCTGAGCCCCAATTCCTACAGAGTGACACCAAGAGGCCCCCATGATACCCACTTACACAGTGGGCTGTGTACTGAGAGGAACTCTGAGCTTAAGGAACCTACATATTTTTTAAGGGGCAATAAGCATGCTTGTCCTTTGCACTGAAGAGAGACAGTCTATCTGCCAAGGGTGTTCACTAAGCAAACTTCCTTGAAGAAATCATCCAGAACAAAAACAATCAGTGCCTCGCTCATAAGGCATGCAGAAACACAAGAGACCCATGGAGAGCTGGCTCTCAATAATACATGTTCTCTTTTGACAGAATATTTTTCCAGTTCACAGTTATTTGAAAATGTATTTCTGTGGCCTAAAGTATTACAAGACAATGAAACAAAAAATTTTATCATGAAAATCATGAGGAGATAATATTAAATATTCACCTCCAGAATGACTCTGAGAAGGCTAATAATGATGAAGCTTTTTTGCCTTTAATGCATCTAAGATATAGCAGAGTAATACCTTTTAGGGACTTTTTAAAATTAAACTTTTAATTTTGAGATAGTTGTAGACTTACATGCAGCTGTAGCACATAATACAGACAGATCTTACATATCCTTATTCAATTTTCCTAATGATAACATCTTGCAAAACTATTGTTCAATATCACAACCGGGATATTGACATGGATACAGTGAAGACAGAACATTTCCATCATCACAAGATCCCCCATGTTGCCTATTTTATAGCCAGAAGTATCTTTTTACCCTTCTCAGTTTTCTTGAAATATACTTTCTTAGCTAATTAATTCCTTCATTTTATCTGCGAAAAAATAGGATTTTAACTAACCCATCTCCTTGGTTTTAAGGTAAATTAGTGCTTTATCTAATTAGACTGTTTGCCACAGACCCAAGGGATAAGATGGTTTTCACTTAGCAAGAAAATATATGTTTTTAAAATGTTTTCTAACATTTATTTATTTTTGAGAGACAGAGAGAGACAGAGAATGAGGGGGGAGGGGCAGGAGAGAGAGAGAGAGAGGGAGACACAGAATCAGAAGCAGGCTCCAGGTTCCAAGCTGTCAGCACAGAGCCTGACGAGGGGCTTGAACACATGGACCGTGAGATCATGACCTGAGCTGAAGTCAGAAGTGTAACCAACTGAGTCACCCAGCCGCCCCAACAGGAAAATATTTCATAGTTTATTTTTGTAAATATAAATAAAATAGCTTATCATGGAACATTTAGAAAGCACAGTAACAAAGAAGTGGGAAAAAATCATTTACTACCCAGAGACAAAAAAGTGCTTACCAACTCACTGTATTTACTTTCAACCTTTTTTCGTTGTTGAGAGAGGGACAGACAGACACACACACAGTTGAGAGAGAGAGAGAGAGAGAGAGAAAGAGAGAGAGTATTGTTTATCTACATATTCATATATCTATGTATAAATACATTTTGTTATATTTGGAAATGAGTTATATCAGTGAAAGAGACAATTCTTATGCCCTTTTACTCTCACCTTTTCTACAGAAAGACAAGGAAGTGGGGCGGCTTCTTATGGGTAGTTTGTCAAATCTCCAAGACTATGACCCACTACAGTTACCCTACACAGCAGGCCCAGGGACTGTCTATCAGCCAGGGGCTTCTGAAGGGGCTGAAAGAGGAAGAAGAAGCTTACTAGATTTTGTGTTTGGCCAGAAATTGGAAGGGGACTGGAAAGCTGAGAAAGTGGTTGCCTGCCCAAAGTGGGCAATAATCATTAGGCTTATTTCAACAATCATTAGGCTTATGATTTTAGAAGATGTGAGGACAAATAGTGTGAAATATGTGACTGTCTCCTCTGAGATCAGGACAAGAGTCACCGTGAATTACACAGTCAAGGGTGGCCCTTTTTTGTGCA